TGAGCTCAAAAGATCCGTGGAGACGTCTGGGGCTGTAGTAAAAGCAGTAGTAGATTTTGAAACTGTCTCAACATTTAATGCAACTATTCTTTCTTCTTGACGTTTTTAAAAAACTTCTTGAGGTGAGGTAGACAATGATTAAAAAAAAAAATCTTTGGTCTGCATCCGGAAAAGATATTCACAGAAAGACATCTTGATACCTTCGTGACAGACCTGGTTTTCATTTACCGAAGAACCCGTAGACCGTAGACCAATAACTGCTGTTCTCGTCTTACATCCATGTCGTCAGCATGTTGTCGACGTCTTGATTCGCTCACTCTACACTCTCTTGGGCTTTGGCTATGGCGAATCTTCCCTGTCACAATATTAAGCTGTGGCCATTGTCGTGATTAAGGCTAGAAAAAAAATTGATTAGAAAGTTCCCGACCCACAAATCTCACTCAGATCAGCTGGACACGGAACACATCGGTCGCTGGAAATGGGCAATGGTGTGTTAAGTGCATGGGTAACACCACATCAAAATATAAAATGATTTTTGTGTAAACAAAAAAGAAAAACAATGAATAAAAATATATATTTCAAATTCAGTCTGTTGCAATCAATAAAAACTAGAAGACTTCTGTTAGACGTTTTAATCTAATTTTTTAATTAAATTTATTATTATTATTTTGTTGTTGTTGTTGCTCCTGTCGTTTATTATTTTTTTTTCCTTTTGTGTATAAATCCCCAATCCTTTCAATGGTATTCTATACTAAGTCACGTCAGGAATCTATAAAATGCCTATGCAATGTGTATAATGTGTAATGCATGTCACACTTTGACTATATAATCGTGAGGTATATCCTATAGAATGCCTGAATTAATGACATAAACTTTAGGTGGGAGTGCTGCTCAATCTTCTTCCATTCGTATAGTTAATGTCAAGGCCGTCTGTGTGTCACGAAATTTTCTTTAAGCCTCGAGGCAGGGAATCTTCAATTAGGGGATTAAAAAAGAAATTCTTTAAGTTACTGGTTTGTCGCGAGATGATGCCAGTTGTGCCGTCACATACTGGTTTGATGTCAGGTGTGCCGCGACATGATGCCAGGTGTGCCTCGAGATGTTGCCAGGTGTGCCAGGGACATGATGCCAGTTGTGTCTGAAATGGTGTCAGGTGTGCCAGCGACATGATGCCAGGTGTGCCGTGACATGATGCCAGGTGTGCCCAGAGAAATAACTTTAAAAGGAGGAAAAGCTCGGAGTGATTAAATGCACGTAATTATTATAATGTAATGATTAGCTTTTATACCACCCCTCGCGATTTTTCCCCCAAAAGACACGTCTTCAAATGGTCTTACAGTAAATCCACCTGCGATTATGACTTTGAACATTATCATATAGTCAACATAGTGACACATAGTTATCTGTGCATTGTCAATAGATAGTGATTGCAGTACGAGATACATTCAACCTAGGGACACATAGATGTCTGTGCATTGTCCATAGATTGTAATTGTAATACGAGGTGCAGTCAACCTAGGGACACATAGATGTCTGTGCATTGTCCATAGATTGTAATTGTAATACGAGGTGGAGTCAACCTAGGGACACATAGATGTCTGTGCATTGTCCATAGATAGTGATTGTAATACGAGGTGCAGTCAACCTAGGGACACATAGATGTCTGTGACTTGTCCATAGATAGTGATTGTCGTATGCCTAGCCAGGTTGATTACAGTTAAGGAATGGAAAGATGGTTATGATGGATGAATGAAAGGATGATTATAGTGAAACATTTGTATTTCGATTATGGTGGGTAAGTGGAAATGTGGTTATGATTGATTAATGAAAAGATGCACGGGTGAATCGATAAATAAGCTGGGAGCAAGATCAATAAAGAAAATAAGCCTTATCGATCAGTGTTGGATGAAAAGATCGATACAACGATCAATGCTCATGTGGATCGATAGGTGAATCGTTTCTTAGATGGATTGATGGACGAGGTGTTGGCTGAATGATGGAATGTTGGCTGAATGATTGAATGTTGGCTGAATGATGGAAGGTTGGCTGAATGATGGATGGAATGTTAGCTGAATGATGGAATGTTGGCTGAATGATGGAATGTTGGCTGAAAGTTAATGTTGTCTGAATGATAGAATTTTGGCTGAATGATGGAATATTGGCTGAAAAAATGAATTTTGGCTAAATAATTGAATGTTTGCTGAATGATGGAATGTTGGCTGAATGATGGAATGTTGGCTAAATGATGGAATGTTGGCTGAATGATGGAATGTTAGCTGAATGATTGAATATTGGGTCAATGAAGGAATGTTGACTGTAAGATAATGTTAGCTGAATGACGGAATGTTGGCTGAATAATGGAATGGAATGTTGGCAGAAGTTTCTTAGATGGATTGATGGACGAGGTGTTGGCTGAATGATGGAATGTTGGCTGAATGATTGAATGTTGGCTGAATGATGGAAGGTTGGCTGAATGATGGATGGAATGTTAGCTGAATGATGGAATGTTGGCTGAATGATGGAATGTTGGCTGAAAGTTAATGTTGTCTGAATGATAGAATTTTGGCTGAATGATGGAATATTGGCTGAAAAAATGAATTTTGGCTAAATAATTGAATGTTTGCTGAATGATGGAATGTTGGCTGAATGATGGAATGTTGGCTAAATGATGGAATGTTGGCTGAATGATGGAATGTTAGCTGAATGATTGAATATTGGGTCAATGAAGGAATGTTGACTGTAAGATAATGTTAGCTGAATGACGGAATGTTGGCTGAATAATGGAATGGAATGTTGGCTGAAGTACTGTTCTATTCTAACACAGCCATTCAAACAGCTATAGCATATGGGTGACGTCCAACCACATTGATACCTTTGCAAAGCTATTGAGGAGTCTATTGCACATACAATTTACACTGCTGACACGGCTCTCTCTCCCCATTAAGTCTCCACTCTAGCGACCAGGCTTATGAATGTTATTGCGCGTGTTAATGGCGTGTTAATGGATTGATTCGTTTAAATGTGTCGTACAACAGAGAGTCTCAAACTATACGACAGCTTGCTATTAGTGGTGGACTTTTTTTTTTTTTTTTTTTTTAAATGACGACCATCGAATGACACAATGTCCCCAGTTACAGGTGTAATGTCCCCAGCTACAGGTGTAATGTCCCCAGATACAGGTGTAACGCCCCTTGCACCTAGTCCACAAGTGCCCCCCACCCCTTCCACCCCATAATGTCCATGTGTACGCAGCAAACAAAATGTCCCTAATCTTTTTTGGGCCCACGCCTTTCCTGGCCCCTAAAAAGGTTTAAATTGCGCCCCCCCCCCCCACTTTTCGTTTTTTGGAAGAGCTGGTTACAATCGTAAAAGAGTCCCAGTTACAGGTGTAATGTCCCCAGCTACAGGTGTAATGTCCCCAGATACAGGTGTAACGCCCCTTGCACCTAGTCCACAAGTGCCCCCCACCCCTTCCCCCCCATAATGTCCATGTGTACGCAGCAAACAAAATGTCCCTAATCTTTTTTGGGCCCACGCCTTTCCTGGCCCCTAAAAAGGTTTAAATTGCGCCCCCCCCCCCAACTTTTCGTTTTTTGGAAGAGCTGATTAAAATAGTAAAAGAGGCGCCCCTTCCTATTGTTAGAAGGATTGAGTTGATTTATTTTTTAAACTACTCAGTGTTTAAAGTTGCTTGTGGGGCGTCATTACAATTTTATGTAAAGACTTTGGCTGCAATAATAGAGAAATATTGGCCCTACAGTTGCAATGACTGACAAAAAATAAATACTGACAAGCAATACCTTGATCGTTGGGCCCTTAATATATAGAAGATAAAAATTTGTCAAACATAAATAACTGACAAGCAATAACTGTGTCACAATTCTTTTGCTGCCCTCTCGGATACTACTTTTCAGCTAAGTGATATCTTTTGAATTTAATTCAGTTTTTTTCTTAAGTTTGTTCCGCTGACGAAGGCTTTGTGCCGACGCGTTCGTTGTTTTTTTGCGTTCCTTTTTTCGGTTTTCACATACTTTGTTTTTACTCATTTCTTTTTTGTTAATTAACATGATTGCAGTCTCTCCCTTTAACAGCCTACAAACAGTAATTACTGATACTAACTACCGACGAATAATAACTACTGACAAACAACTACTGAAAAACAATAACCACTGACAAACAATAACTACTTACAAACAATAACTACTGACAAACAATAATTCGTCAACTTTAAATTTTTTTCCCGTCTAGCTTCGAAACCCTCCCCCCTCCCTCTACCCCAGCTGTTCTCAACCTGTGGGTCTCGATCCCTTTAGGGGTCGAATGACCCGTTCCATGGGCGCCCGCAGACAATCTTCTAGGGGGGGGGGGGGCAAAAACATCGATAAACTTTCCAGGGGGGTCAAAAAAATGTTTGTAATGTTTTAATGTAGTTTTAATTTACTGTGGCGTATTTGTATGGTGAACGAACGGACAGGACATCAGCTTAGTTACTTTCTCTTTATTTTCTCTTTACTTTAATACATTTTTTGTCTATTTTTGTCTAAATTTTTTTAATACAATCAATCCAGGGGGGGGGGGCAAGTGCCCCACCTTGCCCCTACCTGCGGGCGCCCATGACCCGTTCCCAGGGGTCGCCTAAGACNGCTCTGCTCCCCCCCCCTCCCCCTCTCTCTCCCCCCACCCCCCATTACAAAAATATTCTTCCCAGTTGAGAAACATTGCTGTATGCCTGGGTTTAGGGTGCACATGTTTCACAATGACAGCATTGACAGACGGTGTACTTTTACCGTAGAGTCCCTGACAGTGTTTCCTGCTCCCTGGCGGTGTATCGCACGCCTACCATGGTCCCCTCTTCCTTGAAAGCCCATGCTAGCGTGCCAGAGGAGGTAACGCACCGTGCCGTGGTGTGTCAGGAACACGGGTGAAATGAATTGACGGCGACACACCGTGACTGGGTATGTCAACAAAAGACATGACGTCAGGGCGTACAGCGTGTTTGGCGGTGCTGCTGGTATTGGCGTAGTCAAATGTTATGTGAATGAATTGAATGTGGTTTGTAATACACCGGGACCTTGTGCGTCTCTGGGACGATTCTTTAGCGCCTTGATAATTTATGTCGTCCGTGTTGCGCAATTTGAAGTGAACTCATATAGAACTTAAAATTACTGCGTGTAATCTGATCTGTATTTTAATGACAAGAATGGAATGATATGCAAACGAACACCAGTGACTGCATTTCTACAGCAATGAAATAAGTCGTCTTCTAAATCAATAATTTATGTGACGTAGTTTATTTATCCTACATCAGGTGATCGATACATGTGACACGTGTGGTTGCAGGATTACTGGTTTCGTGGATCAAAACAATATCAACAAATCTGATCATCCATGGCTTCAAACAGCTTAGGAAATCAAAGGATTACCTGCACGCTATAGGTAAGAAAGTAGAACACTGACATACCTGGTGGATTGGCGTTTGAGTTTGTGGCAGAGTTGTCTCGTGACCTTCGGGGGGGGGGGGCGCCTTTACACATTTCTGTTTTGTGTCCCCTTGCATTTAAAGTTGAATTTTTTTTTTTACCCCGTCACAAATTTGGGGCCCCTTTAGTTTTTGAGGCCCCCCCCCTTCAACCCCGCGACTGTGACGCGACGGTTCTGCGCTATGGAAGGAATCTTTGGTTATTTAAGGAAATGCATACAAGTGTAGGCCACATATTGGCCCCAGGCAAACATTTTCTAGCGCCCTTTATAAATATTTATTATTATTTATATATATTTTTTTTAAAACATCGTCTGTTCCTTATTGTTTCTTTCTGTTTCTTTCAGTGTCGTTATCCCACTTAGCATTTATTTTTATTGGCTGAAGCCGAGCAGGTGTGCAGCCGCATGGTTCCTCTACTGTCTCAGCCCCAATACATTTCATGCAAGTTAATGGGCAATAAAATAATTCACCTAATGATTTTTCCCTGGGAAAGGTTTACCTATTAGTTGTGGGCTGTTTAAAGGACTCGAGTCATATCGTGCAATACCACTGACAAGATCGCACAGTTTTTTTTTGTTTTTTTTGTTTTTTTTTGTTTTTTTTGTTTATATATATATAAACGTGACGTGCAAACTTACGTATATGTTATAGATATCATCGACTGACCACACCGCACTGTCCTCATAGACAACAGCAACTGGAGGGGAATGGTACAGACCAAGTGACACGGCAGGCTGTCCTGGTGTGCGACCTCACTTATTCTTAAAGGCGTTTAAATAAAACAATTTGAAATAAAGCGAACGTTTCGCAAAACCGCTAAATGTCAAGCTTTTCAACGCACAAGTCCCACTGATATCCGTCGGCCTGGTTGGTTCTTAGATTCCATTCATATATTTAAAGGCCGTGTCTTTTAGACAGTGATGCGACATCTAATTTACACGGCCCGGCGCGCATTCTGTTAACCACCCGCTAACCGAACTGTGCACTCGATGTCGCATCAGAAGAAAAAAAACGTTGAACCAATCCATAACCTCAATTAGCCCCGCCCGATCCGTGTCCCGACTCAGGGATTGTCAGCAGACGTTTTTTGGCCGGCTCTGCTCCGGTTCTGCTCCGGCTAAATGTTTATCCGCTCCGAACTCCGGTGAAGGGGTGGTTAAGGTGGTGCTAAGTGTTTAAAGCAGGGCGGCACAAGTCAAAATGTGATGCGGGCCGTAATACTTCAGGAAAAACTTGTGCGGACCAAAAGAAAATAGGACATGACTTGTGCGGGCCCAAAGAAAATAGGACATGATTTGTGCGGGCCAAAAGAAAATAGGACATGACTTGTGCGGGCCAAAAGAAAATAGGACATGACTTATGCGGGCCAAAACAAGATAGGACATGACTTGTGCGGGCAAAAGAAAATAGGACAAGACTTGTGCGGGCCAAAAGAAAATAGGACAAGACTTGTGCGGGCCAAAAGAAAATAGGACAAGACTTGTGAACACATACATATTCATCTCTAGAGCCAGATCCTTGTATGACAAACAAGTTGTCGTAATTAGCCGTAGTTGAAAGAATTGTGCGTGTCGCTTGACATTTATAGAAAGTTTATATTATTTACAAAATCATGTAGATGGATAATCCAACGCACAAACATCTTTAGCTCGGTCATCTGTTGCATCTGGTTGAATGACGTCTTGAGGGGCTTAGTTCTGTCGTGGGTTCGGCGAGAGAGCCGGAAGTGATTTCAAAAACTTTTATTGACAAAATGTCAAAACTTCGTCAAAGACTTTTCGTTACACGCCCATCACTAACTACATGCAAATGCAGGAATTTAAACATGGCGTATTCTATTAATAGAAATGGGCGCAACAATGTAAGCAAAAAAATATTATGAACAGAAGAAGAGAGTTTTTAAAAAGTCATTTAACAAATATTTATAGGGGCCAATTTCGCATTGTAATTTAAAATGTTGACGTGCCTTAATTTTTGTTAAAAATTTCCACTGATGATTGAAGCGTACTGTGTTGAATGCAAACTGTCGTATGATTGAAGTATACTGTGTGGACTGCAACCTGCTGTAGGACTGCTGTATGATTGAAGTGTATTGTGTGGACTGCAAACTGTTGATGTATGATTGAAGTGTACTGTGTGGTCTGCAAACTGTTGATGTATGATTGAAGTATAATGTGTGTACTGCAACCTGTCGTATGATTGAGGTGTAGTGTTTTGACTGCAACCTGTCATATGGTTGAAGTATGATGTTTTGACTGCAACCTGTTGTATGATTAAAGTGCACTGTATTGAATGCAACCTGTTGCTGTATGATTAAAGTTTACTGTGTGGACTGTAACCTGCTGTAGGACTGCTGTATGATTGAAGTGTATTGTGTGGACTGCAAACCGTTGATGTATGATTGGTGTACTGTGTGGACTGCAAACTGTTGATGTATGATTGAAGTATAATGTGTGTACTGCAACCTGTCGTATGATTGAGGTGTAGTGTTTTGACTGCAACCTGTCATATGGTTGAAGTATGATGTTTTGACTGCAACCTGTTGTATGATTAAAGTGCACTGTATTGAATGCAACCTGTTGCTGTATGATTAAAGTTTACTGTGTGGACTGTAACCTGCTGTAGGACTGCTGTATGATTGAAGTGTATTGTGTGGACTGCAAACCGTTGATGTATGATTGGTGTACTGTGTGGACTGCAAACTGTTGATGTATGATTGAAGTATAATGTGTGTAATGCAAACTGTCGTATGACTGAAGTGTACTGTTTTGACTGCAACCTGTTGTATGATTAAAGTGCACTGAATTGATTGCAACCTGTTGCTGTATGGTTAAAGTTTTCTGTGTGGACTACAACCTATTGTATGATTGAAGTAAACTTCAACCTTTTGTATGATTGAAGTGGACTTCAACCTGTTGTATGATTGAAGGGTATAGTTGTGATGGCTGCCCCGTCATATAAAGAAAAACGTGCCACCCGGGGCTGACCACCCTCTCCGAACCCCCTCCTACGCCACTGTGTCGCGTATTAATCAATTTCCAAACACCCACTCCTATACACACTGTATAACTCAGTGTAAAAATGAAAATAATAGGCTAAATGTTACAAAATAATATGCTAAGTGTTACGAAATAATGGCTAAGTGTTACAAAATAATAGGCTAAGTGTTACAAAATATTGGCTAAATGTTACAAAATAATAGGCTAAGTGTTAAAAAATAACAGGCTAAATGCTACAAAATAATAGGCTAAATTTACAAAATAATAGGCTAAGTGTTACAAAATAATAGGCTATGTGTTACAAAATAATAGGGAAAGTGTTACAAAATAATAGGCTAAGTGTGTCAAAATTATAGGCTAAGTGTTACAAAATAATAGGCTAAGTGTTACAAAATAATAGGCTAAGTGTTAAAAAATAACAGGCTAAATGTTACAAAATAATGGGCTATATGTTACAAAATAATAGGCTAAATGTTACAAAATAATAGGCTATGTGTTACAAAATAATAGGGAAAGTGTTAGAAAATAATAGACTAAGTGTGTCAAAATTATAGGCTAAGTGTTACAAAATAATAGGCTAAGTGTTAAAAAATAATAGGCTAAGTGTTACAAAATAATAGGCTAAGTGTTAAAAAATAACAGGCTAAATGTTACAAAATAATAGGCTATATGTTACAAAATAATAGGCTAAATGTTACAAATAATTGGCTAAATGTTGCAAAATAATAGGCTAAAGGTTGCAAAATAATAGGCTAAATGTTACAAAATAATTGGCTATATTTTAGAACTCATAGTTGACCTCTGATTGTTAAATTATTAATTTTTTTTTTGGATACGGTCTACTGAAATGACCTCGACCTACTGACATGACCTCGGCCTCCAGAAATGACTTCGGTCTACTGAAATGACCTCAACCTACTGAAATAACACCGGCTCCCTGAAATGACCCCGACCTACTGTAATGACCCCAACCTGATGAAATGACCTTGACCTACTGAAATGACCTTGACCTGCTGAAGTGACCTCCACCTAATGAATTGATTTTGGTCTTAGATTTACTTTTTTTTTTTTTTCATTCAATAAAGTTTTCATGGAATACTCAGGATATCAAAGTGAAAATATTTTTAATGTTCTTTCTTGTCATTAATCACAACATATGTAATATGTATACACCGCTATTGGCTTTTACTTTAATAATATAGATTGCAGGTTTCAATTGGAGACTTTTTATCGGGAAAACCGATTTTAATCTTCTTGTTTTTTTACGATCTTACCTCTCATTGCAGTATTTTAGGTTGGGAGGGCCGGGAGAGGGGGGGGGGTGGAGTATTGGGGCATAGGATGTATCTAGTTAATAAACTCCACGCACCGTGCTCTAGTAGGACAAGGGTTCAACTGTCGTTATTTGGAGGGGTCGTATACCTATAATATAATAATAATAATAATAATAAAGTGTATTTCAAAAACACGCTTCATCCCCAAAGGCTCGAAGCGCGGTACAAGAGTAAAAAAAAAAAAAAAAATCTATAATTTACCACATTTAAAAAAAAAAAAACACAACAAAAATATCCCCAAAGGCTCGAAGCACGGTACAAGAGTAAAAAATCTATAATTTACCACATTTAAAACAAACGCAACACTACAAAAACTAATTACAAGCATACAATGTCAAAGTCTTTCAACCCATTTCAACCATGAGCAACACAGCCAATATGCATTAAATGGAAAATATGGTAGACAATCATCCCAGAAGGTGTTTGCGAAATAAATGAATATATATAAGAACAGGAAATGATTAAAAAGATATTTAGAGAGATACAGAGAGAGAGAGAGAAAGAGATGAGGTGAAGAGAGATGAGGTGGAGAGAGAGAGAGATACATCTCTATCCCCCGACATGATCGCTAAATGATGACTAACTCGTTAAAACGACATTCACACAACTAAAGCTTGAACTGAATAATTAATGAGGAATTCCGTAAGTCATATAGTCGTCGATGACTTGACTTATTATACAGCTAAGTCGTGCGTAAGTGAATGACACCCCCCCCACTCTCCCCCCCCCCGCCCCCACCTCGCAAAAAATCCTGCGGGCGCTCATGAAGACAGAGCGTGGGGATGAAAGAATGTAGAGCAGGTCGCTTAGGGAGAGAGGGGGTAGAGGAGTACGATAGAAATGACAATATCGAATCCGGCCACCAACTGATACAGTAATCTATAATTCAATAAATAGCTCAGAAAAAAACAACACATTTAACATTTCAGGCAATAATTTTTTAATACCCTATGAGTGAAGCCGTTACCTCCCCTAGATTTGATTTACTTCCCCTGACTAACAGCTGGCGCCTTCGTTGAAAAGATTACTTTGGTTAATACGCTGTCAGCTCCATCTCTGTCTGTCTGTCTGTCTGTCTGTCTGTCTCTCTCTCTCTCTCTCTGTGTCGCCCTCTCTCTCTCTCACTCTCTCGCTCTCCCCCCCCCCACTCTGTCTGTCTGTCTCTTTCTCCTTGTATCACTGTCGCATTCTTCAAATTAATATAATATTGATATCAAGGTTAAAGTTAGAACTTCTCTTCTGACCATTGTTTTGGAAATTGTGATCGCATATGTGATGCTAACAATATGTATATTAAAATACGTACTTGTTATAAAATATAAGACTACATTCAGAATAATCTCATTACAGATGTTTAATACATACTCATTGTTGGATAATCTGATCATGCGCGACATTAGAAACACATTTTATGAGCCATTGGTGAGTCGTGTGATATCTATAATTAAGTGATCTATTCAAGTCCTTCCCTACACATTATTCCAAAGTATTCGATCTACACCTGAAGTTCGTGCACCCCGTGTGTATTGGTGTCACATTTGTTAGGGGTGTCAAACTCAATCGCTCGGCGGGCCAAAACTCAAATCCCATGTAAGTAAGCGGGAAATTAACATTTTTAAAAAACATTTATATTTTTAAAAAAAAAACAGAAGAAAAAAAATTAATAGTTTAAAATCATTGACAAACCCATTTTCGTTTTTATGCTAATTTGTCAGAGCTGGATGTTTGGTATCTTTTCTTGGCTAAAATGAAAAGGTAGTTCATTTATGTTGGGAGTAACGTTCTGTGTCATTGAGATTCTCATGATGGATTGCAAGGGTTCATCTGTGAGACGACTCCAGTGTGATGTTTTGTTAATCTTCATCATAGAAATCAGCTGCTCACATAGAAATGTGCTACCCAACATGCTCAAGGTTCGAGCCGCATGTAGACGAAGCTGGGGCATTTCTTCAGGAATGAAACGAGTGAACTGTGCAGGTCCAACTGTGTCGTACTTTGCTTTTAGTTTCCCATTATACTGCAGCTCTATTAGCTCCATCTGCAAATTTATAGGTGCAGTTTCCACGTCTATGACAAATGGGTTACGAAACAGCTCGAAATTACATTTCTCTGCGTCAAAGTCACTAAAGCGCCGTGCGAACTCGGCGCAAAGTATGCTAAGTTTGTCAAAAAAACAGTGCATTGGGAAACACCATAGTGTTGACTTGGATATAAATGTACGCCGGTCAAGACCTCTCAGGCCTGATATAATTGTACGGTGGGCCGGATGTGGCCCGCGGGCCTTGAGTTTGACACATATATTTTAGGGTATAGTTCCCATGGGTGTCACCAGGGCCGGCCCTAACAACTGAGGGGCCCTATGCGAAACGGATTGCGCGGGGCCCAGTCTGGGTAGGGATAAGGATAATAAGTGAACGTTTAGATTTTGTATTAGAAAAAAAAAGTGCGGGGCCCACTGCGGTCACATAGGTTCCAGTGGCGTACGGCCGGCCCTGGGTGTCTCATATGTTACGGTATAGTTCCCGGGCTTGAAATGTCGACTCATTAACCACCTAATCTATAGTACATCCTGGGCCACACAAACGGGGCAGGGGGGAGAAGGTGGGCTAACCGAGACGGGCACCATTTCCCGAGAGCTAACAAAAATCGTCAAAGTTCATCGTGAAAAGTATGTATGTATTTATTGATACATTAACTTGTTTTCAAAGAGGGCGCCAAAATTCAGTGTTACCCCAGGGCGTAGCCACGGCCCTGGACTCCTCTGTTTTTCTTTTCTTGTTCTAAAACCTAAAAAAAAAAAATGTCCCAAAACAACATTAATTTAATTTATTCTGAACGTAACTCATTGGATATCCAAAATGTAAGCCATTGCTAAAACGCTTTGGTGGTGGGATGGGGGGGGCTGTGGGATCTTAGCAACACATGTGGCCACCGATCCTCTGAAATGGCGATATTTAATATGTGAAAAGAATGCCTATTCCTATTGGAGCGTTTTAATCGGAGTAGGCACACATGCTGTAGTGATTACATGACTACAATAGCAGCATATATATTGTTAGTGTTTCCATGACTACAATAGTGGGCATATACAGTGTAGGGATTGTATGACTACAATTCATGTAAGTACAAGGTAGAGAAATGTTCTTATAAATAGTGCAGTATGGGGCTCATACAAATTACGATGGCAAGCTCCATTGTGGAGCTTGATGAAGGGGGGAACTAGTACAATAAAATTCTCAATGAGCTATAATTTCGTGCCTCATGGCCAACTGTAGCAATTGTCTAAATCAGGGGTCTCCAAACTTTTAAGACCGAGGGCCGCATTATCTATCCAAAAGCAGTTCTGGGGCCGACGACACACTCGAGGTCCAAATTAAAGAATCAAAACATAGATATTGCTTTTAATTATTTATGTAATATTATTTCTTTCAGTTATTATTTAATGACACATTGATACACGACACGTGAACACCTGTATTACTTGGAATGGTGAAATTATTTCCCGGATGCCAAAAAAGCGGTGATTAGCAGAAATTTCTGGATTTAGATTTGATGTCCTTAACAAGTTACCTCAGATAATCATCGGACAAAGTTGTTCTCAAATTATTCTCCACGTATTTCGTTCTTGAAAATGTTTGTTCACAGAGGTATGCTGTTTCAAAGATTGAAAGACACCTTGATGCAAACGTTTTGAAATTAGGAAAGTCTTCCCTGGGTGAAAACTGGTAAAAACCCACCAGTCCTTCTTCGAACTTGTCCCCAAGGAGGTCATTTGCTTGGAACTCAGTGACCTCCAGGTGCAGTTCATCTGAGCGACTGGCCACGTCTGTTTTAAATGGGTTTTGAAAAAGTCTCACATCTTCTGCCTTTAAATCCAAGTCAGAAAACCGCTGCTGAAACTGCAGCTGGGGGTCTTTGATGATCTCGCATGCCGTAGGGAACTCCGCTGTTGCTTCAGCCATGAAGACCGTCCACTGCTAAAAGTGTGTCAAGTTGTTGGCCGGTACTTGTTCCAAAAAAAAAAAAAAAAAAAAAAACCAAGATGAATTTGGATCTGAAGGCCTTTAGGTGTGTGTATAGATCAGAAACTAGATTTTCCTCTCCTTGTAGTTTTAGGTTCCAGAAAATTTAAATGTTCTTCATTATGTCTGCATCAAAGGCCATTTTCCATATCCACTATTCATCAGACACTAACGGCTGTGGCTTGCCTTTACTTTCCAGAAAGTCACATATTTCCTTTCTTAACTTAAATACCTTGATCAGAACTATCTGACAACTTAGTCATCTTATTGCTGTGTAATATGGTAAATCATGCGATTCTGTGTCTGCATCTTTCAACATGTCTCTGAGCTGTCTATGGTTGAGCCAATGTGACCTTATTAAATTAACCCTCGTCACCTCAGGATTCAGTACGCTGCTAATGTCCACATATTTATCATACAAATCTTTCTGGTGAATAATACAATCATACAGTGCAGGAACATTGGTTGTAAAATATTTTTCTCATTACACATCTGCTTCACTTGTTCCACCAAGCCTTCATTTATGCCACTCATGTTCTTTCCTTCATCAACGGTCAGGTAACTGAGGTTAGAACAGTACAAATTATAATCAGCATATGTTTTTTTTTCAACTCATTGAATTTATCTTCTCCGGTAACAGTTCCGTCCATGCTATGTCGGGAAGCCAGCTCGTGTGTTATGTTCATGTCTTCATCCACACCTCTAACGAACACAAGCAGTTGATAGGTGCAACAGCTGTCCAGCGATTCATCCATTGCAATCAAAAAATTGGCGAAACTTGCTTGCATTTTTCACTATTTGAGTCACAATGTTTTCACCCATGTCTGCAACACGGCGGGCAAAGCTCCGCAACTAGATGACGTTATATATTCTCATTTCATTGACTGTAAACGAAGTAGAAAAACTAAACAGCGAATAAGTAATGATCGGCTAGACAACATAACGCACTACTTCGCGCTCTATTTTATTTCGTTAAAAACATAACGTCCACGTGAGCGACGTCTGATCTTCTCAGGATACACGTACATTTTCGTAATTTTTTTCCGTAGACAAAAAGGTCTCCGCGGGCCGCATGACGGGGCCTTAAGGGCCGCATGAGCCCACGGGCCGTAGTTTGGAGACCCTTGGTCTAAAGTATTGCCAATCACAGCCAATAAGCATATATGAATAAGAACTTTAATATATATATATATATATATGTAATATATATATAATTAACATTCATTTAAAAGACACTTCTAATACTAATAAAGAGGTTATTAGGATAGGGATATTGTCATGTTACCTAAAACCACGTCTCTAAATAGATATTAACTTACATTATATGTACCACTTTCTTCACTCTCAGCGACGACACTCCACCCCCTCCCCCCCCCCGCATTTTTATCATTGATTACATCAAAACGGAGTGTACATTGAACAATTACAACTATCACAGAGGAGGATGTGTTGTGCGCTGTGTTCAGTAACATCTAACAGATACACAAGTAGCTGCGTGTCACATTGTGCCTTGACTCTCCCTCATTTGAAAATGCCTCTATCGTTTCAGGCGGGATGAAAAAACTTCTGAGATTCAAGAAGTACCTGGTCGTTGTTCTCTGCGTGCTTCCTTGTGTCACCATCTACTACTACTCTCAGGGTAAGTCTAGTAGATTGTTCACTGAATGTAGATGGTTGTTGTTCTCTGCGTTCTTTCGCGTGTCACCATCTACAGGGGTGAGGCAAAGTTTGGGGGAGGCAGTGGGGATAGAACTTCCAGGCGCAAGACTAGTTGGGGTGCAAAAATATGGGCTTTGATGATATCTATGAATGGAAATAATGGGTTTCAGCGTTGAAAGGGGCGTAAAACGACTATTGCTCAAGGGCTTCAACAAAATCTGGCTACGCTTCTGACCGTCTACTGTTACGCTAATTGTAAGTCAAAAAGAACATTAACACGATCAAGTAATAAAATAAATCTAACAATTTTCACAAATTTGAATTAAATTAATTTTTATCATTTTGCTATCAACATTCTCTCAAATCTATCAACATTCTCTTTAAACCATCCACATTCTCTTTAAACCATCAACATTCTCTTAAAGCTATCAACATTCTCGTAAATCTTTCAACATTTTCTTAAAAATATCCACATTCTTTTAAAACTATCAACATTCCCTTAAAACAATCAAAATTCTCTTAAATCTATCAATATTCTCTTATCACTATCAAGATATTCTTAGAATTATCCAAATTCTCTTAAATCAATATTCTCTTAAAGCTATCAAAATTATCTTAAAACTATATAATATTTTCTTAAAACTATAAATATTCTCTTAAATCAACATTCCCTTAAAATACCCAAATTGCATTAGAGTTATCAACATTTTCTTGAAATTATCAACATTTTCTTGAAACTATCAACATTCCCTTAAAACTATCAACATTCTCTTTAAACTATCAACATTCTCTTAAAACTATCAACATTCCCTTAAAACTATCGACATTCCCTTAAAACTATCAACATTCCCTTAAAACTATCAACATTCCCTTAAAACTATCAACATTCCCTTAAAACTATCAAAATTCCCTTAAAACTATCAACATTCCCTTAAAACTATCAAAATTCCATTAAAACTATCAAAATTCCCTTAAAACTATCAACATTCCCTTAAAACTATCAACATTCCCTTAAAAACTATCAACATTCCTTTAAAAATATCAACATTCCCTTAAAGCTATCAACATTCTCTTAAAACTATCAACATTCCCTTAAAACTATCAACATTCCCTTAAAGTTATGAACAGGGTTTCTTTCAGCTATATCTCCGGGATGGGGTGGGGGTGAGGAAACCCAAGTGCCCCCCCCCGAGCAAAAATATGTCCAACAATAAATCAACTGGCACTGCTGGCACTGCCCCCCCCCCTTTCTCACCCGAAAAATCTGAAGTGCCCCCTGGGAGAAAATTTCTGAAATAATAACTGGCTATCAACATTCTCTTAAAACTATTAACATTCTCTTAAAACTATCAACATTCTCTTAAAAACTATCAACATTCTCTTAAAACTATCAACATTCTCTTAAAACTATCAACATTCTCTTAAAACTATCAACATTCTCTTAAAACTATCAACATTCTCTTAAAACTATCAACATTCTCTTAAAACTATTAACATTCTCTTAAAACTATCAACATTCTCTTAAAACTATCAACATTCTCTTAAAACTATCAACATTCTCTTAAAACTATCAACATTCTCTTAAAACTATCAACATTCTCTTAAAACTATCAACATTCTCTTAAAACTATCAACATTCTCTTAAAACTATCAACATTCTCTTAAAACTATCAACATTCTCTTAAAACTATCAACATTCTCTTAAAACTATCAACATTCTCTTAAAACTATCAACATTCTCTTAAAACTATCAACATTCTCTTAAAACTATCAACATTCTCTTAAAACTATCAACATTCTCTTAAAACTATCAACATTCTCTTAAAACTATCAACATTCTCTTAAAACTATCAACATTCTCTTAAAACTATCAACATTCTCTTAAAACTATCAACATTCTCTTAAAACTATCAACATTCTCTTAAAACTATCAACATTCTCTTAAAACTATCAACATTCTCTTAAAACTATCAACATTCTCTTAAAACTATCAACATTCTCTTAAAACTATCAACATTCTCTTAAAACTATCAACATTCTCTTAAAACTATCAACATTCTCTTAAAACTATCAACATTCTCTTAAAACTATCAACATTCTCTTAAAACTATCAACATTCTCTTAAAACTATCAACATTCTCTTAAAACTATCAACATTCTCTTAAAACTATCAACATTCTCTTAAAACTATCAACATTCTCTTAAAACTATCAACATTCTCTTAAAACTATCAACATTCTCTTAAAACTATCAACATTCTCTTAAAACTATCAACATTCTCTTAAAACTATCAACATTCTCTTAAAACTATCAACATTCTCTTAAAACTATCAACATTCTCTTAAAACTATCAACATTCTCTTAAAACTATTAACATTCTCTTAAAACTATCAACATTCTCTTAAAACTATTAACATTCTCTTAAAACTACCAACATTCCCTTAAAAACTATCAACATTCCTTTAAAAATATCAACATTCCCTTAAAGCTATCAACATTCTCTTAAAACTATCAACATTCCCTTAAAACTATCAACATTCCCTTAAAGTTATGAACAGGGTTTCTTTCAGCTATATCTCCGGGATGGGGTGGGGGTGAGGAAACCCAAGTGCCCCCCCCCGAGCAAAAATATGTCCAACAATAAATCAACTGGCACTGCTGGCACTGCCCCCCCCCCTTTCTCACCCGAAAAATCTGAAGTGCCCCCTGGGAGAAAATTTCTGAAATAATAACTGGCTATCAACATTCTCTTAAAACTATTAACATTCTCTTAAAACTATCAACATTCTCTTAAAAACTATCAACATTCTCTTAAAACTATCAACATTCTCTTAAAACTATCAACATTCTCTTAAAACTATCAACATTCTCTTAAAACTATCAACATTCTCTTAAAACTATCAACATTCTCTTAAAACTATTAACATTCTCTTAAAACTATCAACATTCTCTTAAAACTATCAACATTCTCTTAAAACTATCAACATTCTCTTAAAACTATCAACATTCTCTTAAAACTATCAACATTCTCTTAAAACTATCAACATTCTCTTAAAACTATCAACATTCTCTTAAAACTATCAACATTCTCTTAAAACTATCAACATTCTCTTAAAACTATCAACATTCTCTTAAAACTATCAACATTCTCTTAAAACTATCAACATTCTCTTAAAACTATCAACATTCTCTTAAAACTATCAACATTCTCTTAAAACTATCAACATTCTCTTAAAACTATCAACATTCTCTTAAAACTATCAACATTCTCTTAAAACTATCAACATTCTCTTAAAACTATCAACATTCTCTTAAAACTATCAACATTCTCTTAAAACTATCAACATTCTCTTAAAACTATCAACATTCTCTTAAAACTATCAACATTCTCTTAAAACTATCAACATTCTCTTAAAACTATCAACATTCTCTTAAAACTATCAACATTCTCTTAAAACTATCAACATTCTCTTAAAACTATCAACATTCTCTTAAAACTATCAACATTCTCTTAAAACTATCAACATTCTCTTAAAACTATCAACATTCTCTTAAAACTATCAACATTCTCTTAAAACTATCAACATTCTCTTAAAACTATCAACATTCTCTTAAAACTATCAACATTCTCTTAAAACTATCAACATTCTCTTAAAACTATCAACATTCTCTTAAAACTATCAACATTCTCTTAAAACTATCAACATTCTCTTAAAACTATCAACATTCTCTTAAAACTATTAACATTCTCTTAAAACTATCAACATTCTCTTAAAACTATTAACATTCTCTTAAAACTACCAACATTCCCAAAAAAAAACAAAATAAAATTATCGAGCAGTTTTTTTCCCCAGATGACGTAATCGTCAAACAACTGGAGAAAGAAAACAGTTTAAACAACTGGGAAAGTAGCTCAAGTATCGAAACTGCCAAACATGAGTTCACCAGAACAGTTTTCGGAGACGATACCCGCGATAACTCGAGAATCGATTTCATTATGGACCACGATAACACCGAGTATCGTTCGACGGAGAATCCTCGCAATGTACCAAGAGATACGCAGTCTGGAGCTGACAGTAAAGAACCCGAACAGACGAAAAAAACTGTTATAAAATTCAGAAAACCTCCACACAGAGTATCACAGAAAGGTAAAAAATAAAAACAATTTGCTATTAGTTGGTTAGTTGACTATTTTGCTCATCCATGGGAATTTCGGAAAACCAAAATGATATTCCATTAGATAAATATTTTACTTATTAAAAAAAAACACATTAAATTGTTTAAAAAAATTATAATGAGCTTTTTCAAATTAAAAAAAAAAATCTTAAGTAGATATTATTTTTTAATAGAGATTAATTAATTAATTAATTTGTTTATAAATCCATGTTTTCCATTAATTAAAAATACGTTTCAAGGTCAAATTGTTTGAATGCCATTTAAGTTATCTTATTTTTTTCTTTTTAAAAGATGGACCAAGTCCCTGAATTTGTTTTAAAATTTGAATTTTAAACATGGGTTTTGCTGTGATTGTACAGGACTTTAACCTTCATCAGGTCATATTGACAGATCTTCAAAACAAGGAGTGCAAGAGAAGCTCATCATTTTGACCTACATGCGCAGTGGTTCCACACTGACCGGTGACCTTTACCAGCAGAATGGAGGCGTCTTCTACATGTATGAGCCCCTGTGGTACACGGAGATGTTGTGGGAGGGCAAGGCGAAGACGAAGAACGTGCACTTTCTGGACGGCTCTTGGTACAGGTATAAAACTCGCTTTCTGCAGTAGAGTGTCTACCTGATTTGGAGAACAGGAGATTGTCTGTGTGAGATATACAACGATAGCTTGTCTGTCTGAGATATTGAAGAATATATTGTCTCCCTGAGATATGGAAAAGTAGATTGTCTGCCTGAGATATAGAGCAAAAGATTGTCCCCCTGAGATGTAGAACAGTAGATTGTCTGCCTGAGATATAGAACAAAAGATTGTCTCCCTGAGATATAGAACAGTAGATTGTCTGCCTGAGATATAGAACACAAGATTGTCTCCCTGAGATATAGAACAGTAGATTGTCTGCCTGAGATATAAAACAAAAGATTGTCTCCCTGAGATATAGAACAGTAGATTGTCTGCCTGAGATATAGAACAAAAGATTGTCTCCCTGAGATATAGAACAGTAGATTCTCTGCCTGAGATACAGAACAAAAGGTTGTCTCCATGAGATATAGAACAGCTAGCGTTTGTGAGAGACACACTGCAACAAGAACAAGGCGGTGGAAGGGGCACTCTGCCCCCCGAGCGTTATAAACCCAAGTCACGCTATTGCTCGCTGTAGCAGGTGGTCTCTGCGAGGCGGAGTTCAGTGTAACTGATGAGAGATGTAAATATGACGTATTTAATTTTAAATCTAAATTCGCCAATGTGTCATTTTTTTAAAAGGTGTTTATTAGGTGTTATTCCATAAAAAAACATAAAAAAAACAACCCATGTCTCTTTGTTTATTATTATTCAGTGGAAATATATTCCGATAATTGTCCATACCTAAATGTGCATCCCTCATTATTGAAATGTATGTGCATTGATCAGTGGATTTCCCAAGCACACATCTGTTGCACACACCGTTTTTAAGGCCATCAAACCAGTTATTAGACCTAAGGGTAGTGACGCGTGGTGAGAACATTTAGTTTTGATGGTTACATCATTGACGTGACGAATACACTCTGTGATAACTCACGCACCCTGGCCTGGGAAACCCGTTTATGTTAACCCACGAACCCTGGCCTGGCAGCACCCTCTGTGTTAACTCACGCACCCTGGCCTGGCAGCACCCTCTGTGTTAACTCACGCACCCTGGCCTGGGAGCACCCTCTGTGTTAACTCACGAACCCTGGCCTGGGAGCACCCTCTGTGTTAACTCACGCACCCTGGCCTGTGAGCACCCTCTGTGTTAACTCACGAACCCTGGCCTGGGAGCACCCTCTGATTTAACTCACGCACACTGGCCTGGGAGCACCCCATGTGTTCACTCACGCACCCATGTTCCTGGTGCATTCAACAGTTCAATAATATAAGAAACCACCATGTCCATGTTGCTGAACAAATAAAAAACTATGTAAAAGAACTTCATTTTCATATTAAACTTAAAATTTTTCACTTTTAAAGTTTAAAATTGATTTTTCTAAAAAAAAAAAAAAATTCTGTTGTTTTGTAACGTAGACTTCTAAAATCTCAGCTAATATACAAGCTAGAGTAATAAAATTTGGTGTGTATCTTCCTTTAACTATTTTGTGGGTAATGAGCTATTCAAAAGTCAATTTGGTCAATCACTTTTGTTAAAATAATTTTTTTCATATCCTAGGATGGTAAATTTTAAGCGTTTTCTGCCGAGGCAAATTTTAAAAATAAAAAAAAAAATGTTTTGAAAAATTTGAAGGCAATTAAACTAGCTCAGTACCTCTAAATATAATTGAATCAATCAATTTTTAAGCAATATGTATGTTTGTTTTTAAAATTTTAGAACTCTACGAATGGGGATTATTTTCAAGATGGCCGCCGTTGCCATGGCAACTATATAATTTTTTTTTTTTTTAAAGCATGACAATATATCTCCATTCATAGCTTAACATGAACATAATAAAATAGTTGCTCTAAGTTGGTTCATTAAAAAAAAATTGTTTTGGTAGCCTGCCCCCTTAAGCGGAATCTCCTTTATCAAAATAGCTTAAGCACGGCCTCACTGCCTCACAAAGTTGATTCATCCATTTGCAATGAGAACTTTTTTGTTTTCAGCTTTTCAAGTTGTATTTCAATATCTTCATTCATTCCGCTATTCTTCTGCTAAGTAGCATAGCTTTCGCATCTTTTTCATCCTTTTCCAGAACAGTTTTAAGAAATGCTGATATTGATGGTTTGATAAAACTCTCTTCTACATAGCATGATTTTTTCAAAGATTTAGCGATGAGAAAGGAAATTTCATAACCAGCCTCGAGAGTACGATTGACAGTTGCAGTATCAGCAGTAAATAGAGACTTTTATGTTGATCGTTTAACAAAATACAATTTAAATCACAGTAGACGGTTAGTTTTCAAATTCCAGACAGCTCATTTTCCAATGGCCCTCCTAAACAATCGAATCGTCCTCCCACACCACACCCCACCCCCACAAAAAAAAAACGCTGGACACCACCGCTATATGTTGTCAAGGACTGCACACTTTGAGATCGTGTACAAATTGATCGTGTTATGTCAAGGATTGCCCGCGTGAAGGAACCATGGGATGATATTGTTGCTATTAACGGAACGATTTTTATGCTACAGTGTAATCAACATGAACATTTTTATGCTGCAGTATAATCAACGTGAACTTTTTTTTGTTACAGTATAACCAACATGAACTTTTTTATGTTACAGTATAACCAACATGAACTTTTTTATGTTACAGTTTAACCAACATGAACATTTTTATGTTACAGTATAACCAACATGAACTTTTTTATGTTACAGTATAACCAACATGAACTTCTTTTTGTTACAGTATAACCAACATGAACATTTTTATGTTACAGTATAACCAACATGAACTTTTTTTGTTACAGTATAACCAACATGAACTTTTTTATGTTACAGTATAACCAACATGAACTTTTTTTGTTACAGTATAACCAACATGAAATTTTTTATGTTACAGTATAACCAACATGAACTTTTTTTGTTAAAGTATAACCAACATGAACATTTTTATGTTACAGTATAACCAACATGAACTTTTTTTGTTACAGTATAACCCACATGAACTTTTTTATTTTACAGTATAACCAACATGAACTTTTTTTGTTACAGTATAACCAACATGAACATTTTTATGTTACAGTATAACCAACATGAACTTTTTTATGTTACAGCATAACCAACATGAACTTTTTTTATTACAGTATAACCAACATGAACATTTTTTGTTACAGTATAACCAACACGACAGAGGGCAGATATGAACGAGAACTTCAAATATTACGAGATGTTTTTAGCTGTAATTTGATGTATCTGGATTATGGTACACTCAAGGTATGTCACAGATTTAATTATCGTAATATAGCACATTTAACCATCGTAATATAGCACATTTAATTATCGTAATATAGTACATTTAATCATCGTAATATAGCACATTTAATCATCGTAATATAGAACATTTAATCATCGTAATATAGCACATTTAATCATCGTAATATAGCACATTTAATCATCGTAATATAGCACATTTAATCATCCTGATATAGCACATTTAATCATCGTAATATAGCACATTTAATTATCGTAATATAGCACATTTAATCATCGTAATATAGCACATTTAATCATCGTAATATAGCACATTTAATCATCGTAATATAGCACATTTAATCATCGTAATATAGCACATTTAATCATCGTAATATAGCACATTTAATCATCGTAATATAGCACATTTAATCATCGTAATATAGCACATTTAATCATCGTAATATAGCACATTTAATCATCGTAATATAGCACATTTAATCATCGTAATATAGCACATTTAATCATCGTAATATAGCACATTTAATCATCCTGATATAGCACATTTAATTGTAGTAGGGGACACGCTCTGAGAAAAATAACACCAACAGCTAAATTCATTATGCAGCAGCACGCAGTGAAAGGTTGTAAGAAATCGACTGCCATTGAACGAATCAATGCTGTCAATATTAACACACGGCTAATGTAACAAATAGGCAGCTGTTTAGTTTAGGTTTTTTTCATAGAGGCCTCCTCGTGTGTATCTGCTGAACGGACCAGGGCAACTCAAAACCTAAAAAAAACTAATCAGCAGTCTCTAACAAACAAAACTTATCAGGTTCCATTAGCAATCTCAATGAATAAAATGTATTTTGTATGTTTTCTTTTCGCAGCAGTATCACATGTTCTCAAGTGTGTCCACCTTTATGTACGCCAGGTGTGCCTACCAGTTTACAGGTAAGTCAATTGTGTGTCTTACCGTGCCCTGGAGGGTGTGCCAAACTAGACATTTCTAAACACACCTTTAGCTTGTGCCCAACGAGACATGTATGTGGTGTTTCTGAACACACCTGTAAGGTGTGTCACCTGTAAGGTGGGCCTAACTGCACATGTATGTGGTGTTTCTGAACAGACCTGTAGGATGTGCCCAACTAAACATGTATGTGGTGTTTCTTAACTGCACACTGCACATGTATGTGGTGCTTCTAAACACACCTGTAAGGTGTCCCTAACTAGACATGTATAGGGTGTTTCTGACCAGTCCTGTAGGGTTTTTATAGCTAGAAATGTATGTGGTGTCTCTGACTAGTCCTGCGGGGTTTATCTAACTAGAAATGTTAAAGGTTATCTGAATTTATTGCTCAAAAGTTTTCTCTAATCAGTCATTTGTTTCCGAATGACATGTGTGAGATGTGTCTATGAGTGAGATGTGTCTCTGAATGAGATGTGTCTCTGAATGAGATGTGTCTCTGAATGAGATGTGTCTCTGAATGAGATGTGTCTCTGAATGAGATGTGTCTCTGAATGAGATGTGTCTCTGAATGAGATGTGTCTCTGGCTGAGATGTGTCTCTGAGTAAGATGTGTCTCTGAGTAAGATGTGTCTCTGAATGAGATGTGTCTCTGAGTAAGATGTGTCTCTGGCTGAGATGTGTCTATGAGTGAGATGTTCATCTAAATGAGATGCGTCTCTGAATGAGATGTGTCTCTGAGTAAGATGTGTCTCTGAATGAGATGTGTCTCTGAATGAGATGTGTCCCTGAATGAGATGTGTTCACAGACCCTATCAGATGGCCTTCTTCCTGTCTCTCCTATATACCACGAACGGCATCTTCGGCTAACTATCACGTGTACCACATTTCGACTAATACATGTGAAGACCTCTTTGGTGGGAAAGGTTCCTTTATGGGAGCCAATGTGTTCAGTTTCCAATAAATAGGCGAACGTCCTACAACGGCTTACTGAACATGGTTTATTCCAAGCCCGGCGCGAAGGCATGTTTGAACCAGAATGTCACAAAGATTTGTATCTTTTCCGATGGAAGGGATAGAATACCCTGTGAGTGTCATGGTCAGCAAGAAGTATATGACGATTCTTTAAGATTTTTTTTTCTGCAAAACAAATTATGAATGTAGTCGGAGGTTGTTTTTTTTTTTTACGAGCCCCGTTTTTGTTTAAACGACATTTGAAAGATTCATCACGTGTGATTGTGCTGACACGATTGAGTACCGAAACAAGGGTAGTCTCAGCATAAACAGGGGAAGTCTCAGGAAAACAAGGGTAGTCTCAGTATAAACAGGGGAAGTCTCAGGATAAACAAGGGTAGTCTCAGTATAAACAGGGGAAGTCTCAGGATAAACAAGGGTAGTCTCAGTATACACAAGGGAAGTCTCAGGATAAACAAGGGTAGTCTCAGTATACACAAGGGAAGTCTCAGGATAGACAAGGGTAGTCTCAGTATACACAAGGGAAGTCTCAGGATAAACAAGGGTAGTCTCAGTGTAAACAAGGGAAGTCTCAGGATAAACAAGGGTAGTCTCAGGATAGACAAGGGTAGTCTCAGGATAAACAAGGGTAGTCTCAGGATAAACAAGGGTAGTCTCAGGATAAACAAGGGTAGTCTCAGGATAAACAAGGGTAGTCTCAGGATAAACAAGGGTAGTCTCAGGATAAACAAGGGTAGTCTCAGTATAAACAAGGGAAGTCTCAGGATAAACAAGGGTAGTGTCAGGATAAACAAGGGTAGTGTCAGGATAAACAAGGGTAGTGTCAGGATAAACAAGGGTAGTCTCTGGATATGATCTGTGGTGAAAGAAGTCCATCATTTCATCTGCCCTGTTGTACGCGGTCTTCATCTGACTGGCAGTGGCATCGCAGTCTAAGAAGTGGAGTAAAATGTACGGAGATTTGGACATGGCGGGACGATGAATGCCATAAGTCAATGTGGCTGTCGAAGTGAATTTGGCTGTTGGTTGGTTTATAGTAGGCAGAGGTCGACAATTCGTTTTCTTATAAGATAAGGGTAATTCCCAAAAGTTTAAAGACTCATATGACATCTTCATACACTTAATATCTAGACCAGCGTTTCCAAAAAAAAACAAAAAAAAAAAAAAAAAAAACAAACAAATGTCGTGGCCCGGTTATGTGTATACTTCTCCTTCCTGACCCACTAAAAATTGTATCGCCTATTCTTAGCTATAGATAACATAAAACCCATAGGAATGCCTATGAATTATTTTTTTAAACATTTTATTTTCAAAAAAAAAAAAAAAGTAAATAAATAAATCATTTACTCTTACAAACATGTTAAAGAAATCAAACAAACTGGTGCATAATGTATCAATATAATGAGTGATTTTGATTCCTCCCTTATCGATCTTCCTAATTTTTGTGTTCTTTAGCTTTCACTTCCTCAAACGTGCTTGAACAGCATGCAGCAATAAAGCAAATCAAACTCTGATCGCCCGGTATGACTTCAGATTAACCTGGAAGTAGAACGAGCCCCATTAGACCGTGCAGGCCTTAGATTAACCTGGAAGTAGAACGAACCCCATTAGACCGTGCAGGCTTTAGATTAACCTGGAAGTAGAACGAACCCCATTAGACCGTGCAGGCTTTAGATTAACCTGGAAGTAGAGCGAACCCCATTAGACCGTGCAGGCTTTATATTAACCTGGAAGTAGAATGAGCCACATTGGACTCAGCGTATATGTTGCTAATTACCTGCGACCAATGAGACAAAGAAAAACGCTCCCATCCTGATTCAACGTTAGTTATCGTTGTTTTAAGGTATCGTATAGAGGGAAACAACGGCGAAAAACAAACAGTAAACACCTTGCAGTTTTCTATAATATCTTTTGCGACCCAGTATTTATGCTTCAGTACTGGGTTGCGACCCTACATTCGTGAAATGCTAATCTAGAATAACAGCCGTGAAATCCTTGAAAATGTGGGGATTTTACATGAGATTCATGACTTCCTACTCATTAATTCAGTTAAAGCACACCAAACAAAGCTGCATCATTCTTTGTGAGCCTTGGGACAGCTGTCCTTTATGGTGACATGTAACAGCCCTTGGCTTTATACCCTGATCAATAAGGATCTAAAAACCCGACCCTTAAGTATTGCAGCGACGGCTCTAAACTGTAAGAGGAGCTTATCGACGGAAGTTAGTGTGCAGTTAGAGAGGAACACGCTATCAAAAGTGCAGCCATAATTTTCAGTGATCGGCTTTCGTTTTCCTTAAAGTATCAAATATAAGTATCAAATATAAGTATCAAATATAAGTATCAAATATAAGTATCAAATATAAGTAGCTGGCTTGCGCTTTGTGCCAATAAATTGACTAATGTATCCTATGTGTTTGTTGAGACTTTGTTTTATGGCCAGGTTATAGTTTGTAAAGATGTTCTGTTGATAAAGTAGAGTGTTATCGCTCCATCCTTTGACATGTGACATTCAACAAATTAACTGCAAGGCATCTTAGCCATTTATAGATATGATAAGATTGACATTGTTACATATTGAGTCAAGATAAGATGAAATGACATGAATCTAAATAAGATTCCTAACAAGCTGGCTGCTTCCTATTCGGCGTATTTTGTATTGTGATTAATAAGACACGAACAAATTGTGTCAATAGAACAATATCAGTTACGCTTTAATAATAATTATACACTATACACAAGTAAACGTTTCGGCACACGACGTCATCGGTACAAACAAACAAAAAGTTTAAATAAGTATAAATTAAATTTACATAATATAAAAATACATATCCTACCTAAAAAAGAAAATAGGAGAGGGCGCTAAAACCAGACAAAAAACAAAGCAAAGTGGAGTGAAAAGGAAGTGATTTGAACATAATTGTAAAAACCAAACAGGAAAAATAATTCTATATTTTGAAATAACGTATGGTTCAATAATGAGTTTAATAGCGTGCACAAATAATTTCCGATAACTACGCTAAATGATTTTTTTTTTTGGCGCGAAATATTTTCTTTACGGAAAATGAAATCGTCTCAATTTAAATATGGTGTAAAAAAATATTCGGTTTAAAAGTGGTTGGGACATCAGAATACTTAATACAGTTCCATGAGCGTGAAATAAAAAGTGTGCACAGAATGTATCATGGAGGGAAAGGGTGTCGCGAAAATTGAGATTCTTAAATGTGCCTTATTTGAGTTCATGTTTTGTCAAGTGACTTTAGTAGATGGGAAGTTCACGCATTGCTGTCGGCAATTTTTTGGCTGGCCATATCTAGCGAGATGTATTGAGATAAGAGGAGAAAATATGAGACAACAGAAGACAATAGGAGATAAGTAGAAATAAGATAAAGTAGAGACACGATGAGAACGGGTGAGACAGGATGTGACGCAGATCGTCTATGTCGCCTTGTTATTCCCATTTGGACCGCCATTTTTACTTTTTACCCACCCCAAAATATATTAACGAAAACACATAAATAAATACAGACCTTTTTGATGATTCAAATATACAAAGTAACGTGGAACAATAAATGCTTTATTGGGGGGGGGGGGGGGGTTTTTTAAAAATAAATTTTTTTTTAAAGATTATTTATAACAATTTAAATGTTAATTATGTCTTCTGTTTTTAGTCCAGGCACAGAGGGTTTGAGTGTGTGTTAGAGAATGGGGTCCAGCGTATCACAGCGCCAGCAAAACGACATGACGACAAAAGTTTAACTTGTGACATTCCATCTGTAAGTTTCTGCAAATGATCACTTAACTGCTGTGAACCTTGGTGTTATAATTTTCATTACCATGTTGACCCTTATGAAAAAAAAAATAGAAAAAAACAAGTTTGTGAATTTTATCACTAGAATAAAAAGCTTCAATCATAGAATTATTATTTTTTTATAATGTTTCATGTAAAACTTAAATTTAAGAAAAAACTACTTTGATTACTTCCTAACTTTGCTTTTTTGTTTATTTTCTGCCCTTTTTACCAGATGGAGTATGCTGAGAGTGTTGGAATGCTTGAGGCAAATCTGTCTGTGTATTGGGGGAACAATTTCTGGTTGGAGAGTACATCTAGACTTTATGGTANTTCCCAAATTTTAAAACGTTTACCAAATCTTCCCCCCCCCCCCCCTTATTAAGTTTATGTAATGGGCGGACTGCCCCCTTGAGCTCGTTGTAATCATTCGATGCCACAATAAGAGGCGTAGCGAAGAACATGATTTCTATGGCGTCCACGCCAAGAACCAAAAGTGTGCACCTTTCAAGCTGGATTCACCTGTTTTTAAATAAATACAAAGTAAAGCTGAAATCCAATTAAAGAAGAATAATAAATAACATATTGTTACTTGTAGAGGAGTTTGTAGAGATTTTTTTAGGAAAACAAATAATTGCACTAAGAATTATTGGCCCAGGATGGCTGATTTTTCGCTCGGCCCTTTTTTCAAGTGGTGCCCATTTCATAAGTGTCTTTCCACACCCTCATGCAGTGTCTTGCTACACCCTCGTGAAGTGTCTTGCAACACCCTCGTAAAGTGTCTTGTCAAGTCCTCATAAAGTTTCTCGTCCCACCCTCGTAAAGTGTCTTGCCAAGTCCTCATAAAGTTTCTCGTCCCACCCTCGTAAAGTGTCTTGCCAAGTCCTCATAAAGTTTCTTGTCCCACCCTCCTAAAGTGTCTTGCCACGTCCTCGTGAAGTGTCTTGCCACACCCTCATGAAGTGTCTTGCCACACCCTCATGAAGTTTCTTGCCACACCCTCATGAAGTGTCTTGCCACACCCTCATGAAGTTTCTTGCCACACCCTCATGAAGTTTTTTGCCAAACCCTCATAAAGTGTCTTGCCACACCCTCATGAAGTTTCTTGCCACACCCTCATAAAGTTTCTTGCCACACCCTCATGAAGTTTCTTGCCACACCCTCATGAAGTTTCTTTCCACACCCTCCTGAAGTTTCTTTCCACACCCTCATCAAGTTTCTTGCCACTTCTTGCCACTCCCTCATGAAGTGTCTTGCCACACCCTCATGAAGTTTCTTGCCACACCCTCATGAAGTTTCTTGCCAAACCCTCATAAAGTGTCTTGCCACACCCTCATGAAGTGTCTTGCCACACCCTCATAAAGTTTCTTGCCACACCCTCATGAAGTTTCTTGCCACACCCTCATGAAGTTTCTTGCCACACCCTCATGAAGTTTCTTGCCACACCCTCATGAAGTTTCTTGCCACATCCTCATGAAGTTTCTTGCCACACCCTCATGAAGTTTCTTGCCACACCCTCGTAAAGTGTCTTGCCACACCCTCGTAAAGTGTCTTTACACACCCTCGTAAAGTGTCTTTACACACCCTCGTAAAGTTTCTTGCCACACCCTCGTAAAGTGTCTTTACACACCCTCATGAAGTTTCTTGCCACACCCTCGTAAAGTGTCTTGCCACACCCTCGTAAAGTGTCTTTACACACCCTCGTGAAGTGTCCTGCCACACCCTATGAACGCCTTTCATCCAAAAGCCTGTGTTGTTGTTTTTTAACATTATTTTATTTTTATTTTACTTCCCATAATCCTATCGTAATTTTACCTATAAGGTTGGTGATAAATTTACACCCAATGAATTTGTAATGTTTATCTAAATCTGAAACTATAAGATGATAAATCCTATTTTTTTACCCTCTCCAGATGAACTACACATAGAAAAGTGCCTTCAAGAGACGGTGCAAGAATGCCTTACCTCTCCAGCCATCGTCACCAAGATAATCAGGGGGTCAATGCGACATGTGTATGACCTCATGAAAAATGACCCCGCGGTAAAGGTCCTTCACCTCTTGCGCGATCCCAGAGGATCTATGAAGTCCCAGTACCAAGTCGGAATGTTCAAGTGGCCGCATTTGGGAGAAAGCTCCTACAAACATTGCCAGCGAGTGCTGCGCGACCTGGAGCTCGCCAAAATAATAGCCGTTGATTTTCCCGGCAGACTGTTCTCGCTGCGCTACGAAGATTTGGTCCAGTACCCCGTTGCAGCGACACAGCAGCTTTACGGTTTCCTTCATCTGACGTTGTCGCAAGAGATAAAAGACTACATCTGGAACATAACTTACGCGGGAAACCCCGACGACTGCAACATTTGCACGACGCGCCGCAACGCCTCCGCGACAGCCCACAGCTGGAGGAGAAGATTGTCGTTCAGAAGCATCGCTTTGATACAGTCGCAGTGTGCGGAACTATTTTCAGCCTTAGGGTATAGAGTTTTCCATGATTATGGCGAGCAGTTGAATGAAAATATACCAACAAAATATGATATATCAAGTGGGGAATTTCAGAAAGAAACAACTGCCTTCTTTTAAATGTTATAGTATTTTTTATTTTAATTATTATTTTTTTTTTTTTCTTTTTTGTAAGATGCTGCTTAATTCAAACTATGCGCACGGCATAAGGCCTAAAATGTTTTTTGATTCATTTACATAATTTTTTTTCCGAGTTTATTTTTATACAAGACCAAAGTGACAGTAGATGCTTATAGACGCCAAATGAACGTTCTGAAAGTTCCTATCCGACATTCAGAAAGCCCCTGTTCGCAGAGCAGCTTTATAAGGTACCTATTAGTTTGGAATATTCATAAATTCTTATACTTATATCCGTCTAGTTTATTTAGAATGTCTTTACTCATCGTATTTTCAGAAAGTCCTTATTCGTTTTGTAGGCCTTTGTTCAGAATTTAAAAAAAAAAATCCTTGCCTATGTTCAGAAAGCCCCCTTTTGTTCAAGAGTTGTTTTCTTTTCTTAACTCGAGGGGAGAGAAAAAAATTATTATTTTTTTAAACTTAATTTTTAATGAGTTGCCTCGTAGCTACTACCCCTGAACTATCAATGACAACAAAAAATCAACTAAAAGAAATTTGAACCGCCTGCTCGAGGACCGCCTTCCGTACGTTTACGTTAATGTCCGACTGCTGCAGATGAATAGGCCTAAGTGTGCTGGACTATTTTTAAATCCTACTTATTTAACTACGCTTTTGTTCGTGGGTGGCCTCATACGGCTAATTGACCCACTTTCCGTCAACCTATCGAGCTGAAACTTGGCACATAGCTTCATTCCCGTTGACAACACGTTCTGTTAAACTTTCAGCCCCATCTCAAGCAAAAACCCCCCTCAAAAATAAGACTTTTCTCTTTTTCAAGGGGAAGATAATTTAAAATTCCCGATAAATTTAAAATTCCCGATAAATTTAAAATTCCCGATAAATTTAAAATTCCCGATAACTGCGCAGTATGAGATTTTCATGTAAATATCGTTTGTGCGTAATAGTATCTTTAATGTTTCTACAATGGTTGGTGAAATAGATCTGTGGTGTCAAGGTTGGTGGGTCATTAAAATATGAATATACTACAGTGGCATGAAAATAATGTGTGGTTGCGATCCTAAAAAGTGAGAAAAAAAAAAGGTGGGGGGGGGGG